CGCGCCTTCATGCAGTTAATCTTACATCGAGTGGCTTGGAAGTGTAACTGTATTTTTTGGTATCGGTACTTTGCGAACAGTAAAAATAGCTCAATACTTAGGCTGAAATAGCGGAATTTACGGAAAAATAGCGAAATTTACGGAAGAATAACTAAAAAGGTAACAGACGTAGCTTTCCAGAGAGCAAAATCACCTACACGCGTGTGTGTAAGTTAGCTGAAATTTGTGTAGCGATTTTACCTGCATGGTTTGCACGTTCGTTTTTTAGCTACACCATGCAGTTGAAATACCCACGTGCACGGCAATTTCAGCAATATTTTTTTTCAGTGTAGTTAGAGGTAAAGTTCATTTTTCTTGGAACGTGGTTGAATCAATCATACATCTGCCTATCCCATGACCAACCAGGAATGAAGTTGAAAATATATACTTTTAAACTTTTTTTCCCGTAAAAGTATAAATCGACAGTGAAACTGCAAAAATGTGTATCTTGGTTGTGGTGTTTCGAAATCTTAGCAACTTATTTATTTTTCAGAAGGAGTCGGAACCAACATCATGGTTTGACGTTTCTACAAAATATTTTCTATTAATGGATGAAAAATCACTGAAATGTTTAAAAATGGACGTTTGGTATTTCTCTTTGTAGAAAATAAGGTAAGATAGGGAATCAGCAACGCCGTACACTAAGATACATATTTCTTCAGTATTATCATCCGAAATATTCTGTACACTACAAAAAGAACCTTGCTAAAAATAAATGTTTTGCTACTCTTATATTAAAGTTCGGTGGAGTCAACTGATTCGTTGAGTGACTCGTAAAAAGTATTTTTATTTATTTTAAATCGTATTAGAGTCAATTGGAGTAACATAAATCAAAATATAGTCAAATATGACTTGATCTAATCTTCAATATGAGAACAGAATTTACCGCGTATTTGTCATCTGGTAATATCTCTCTCAATGAACTCGAAGTGAGGTACAAAAGTGTCTTACACCCTTTATGCAAAGGTAGTATCGAGTGGTCCATAATGCTAAAAATTGACCCCTCCAGAGCTATCAATTTGCAAGCGTTTGAGAATCAATACTTTCAAGTTCTGGCGAAGAAGAAAATGCTTCAAGAAGTGACATGTACTCAATATCATTCATTCTCAGTTTTCATTAGTTCTCTAATTGCTCCTTTCCTCTCTATTTCAAATCTTAAACCTGCAGATTTGCCAACCTTTCTTGTATCTCAGAAAATGAGAAAATCAAATGGCACTAATTTCATGCGATATACCTCAAAATCCAGAACATTTTCTGAGGAAGGGTAGGGGCGTCAAGTAAATTTCTGTACCTTTCTTCAACGCAAATAGTGAGTGTGCAGGTTATTTTATAGTTTCTGAAATCTCCGAAGTTTAGTTGATCTGAAATTCAACCGGGTCATTCTATTTTCTTCACTCTTTTAATTCATGTGATCGCCAATTATTAAATATTGTAAAACGTTATTCCGCCAATTTAAAGGAAACTGTATCAATAATCCAAATATCATCACTTATTTAGAAGTAGTCGAGCAAGTTCTAGCACTGACCGGAAAAAGAGAGAAAAAAATGAACTACACAATATTTTAAATCTTTGTTTTCCCGGTTGTGCATTTGATCAAATACTAAATTTGACCATTATTTGTCCCAAGTTAATGAGTCCTAATGTAATAGTGTGTATGTAATGTATATAAGTACATAATGTACCCTCACAATCGACCATATTTTGCTTTCTTGCCCAAAAACCTATGCTACACGCATCAATATTCAAAATCCCCTCCCTCGTAACATCCATCCTTTAAGCTAGATGATCCAACAGTAGTCATCGAAATTTTTAAACTCTTTAAGCAATTAAATTTAAAAATGTAAGGTTTCCTGATCCCCGACGTAAATAGCCTGGTTGCTGATTGTCGTAGATTAAGTAACTAACTAATGTAGTAAGCGTAATGATTTTTTTGAGGTTGTGAAAACTGGCACTTTAATGGAACGATTAGAGCTACTCCATGGTAAGAAGCTTCATAGAAGTTCGGGTCGAACATCAATTATTCAGAGTTGATCACCCGACGTAAACGCGGGAAGGAGGCGGTAAGAGAGGCGGGAAAAATTTGCGGAGCGACGATTACCAAGCAACACGTACTTGCGCAAACTCGGGTCAATCTAATTAAAAAGTTGCGAATTCGAAGAAAATAAAAAGCCCGGCGCCGAGGAGGCGGCGCGGGCACCCGGGTCGGGTAGGCGGCGGCGGCGGCGGCGAGGGTAGGAGGAGGGGAAACTAATTTAGCCGCGGGTCAAAATGAATAGAAAATTGAGTCTCCTTTGACGGGCACGGACGAGGCTGAGGGGGAAGACGAAGGCCGGACTCGATAATTTGAGGAATTCGCAATATCATAGAGGAAGAGATAGGAACCGCCTCCTTCGCTCTTGGAAGTCGCGGACTTTCGAGGACTCCGCCTTCCTGCCTTTGCCGCCGCCGGAAAAGCTCCCAGGAACAAAAGAGTTGGAGCGAAACTAACGCTCCCCGGCCAAACTTTCCCGGCTCGGCCCCGCTCGGGCAAAAAAGACCAAGACGTGGGCTCCTGGCAAGTTCAAACGAGGCTACCGCCGCCCCGGCGAAGTTCCCGGCCCGAATAAGTTAGTTAAATAGTTTCGACCCTCGCCATATTTCGGTTGCGAGTTACTCATTAAAGTATCTAGCCTCGAGACTCGGGTCCGGTCCGGGCCGTGAATTTTGAAAACCGCGCACTTTTCGCTCCTTCCCGGCTCTGTTCGCGTGGCCTCTCGCCCCGAATTTTCCCTCGGTTATCTGCTTATTTATGTTTGCAGCGCTAAAAATAATAATGATGTAATGACGCCGTTGAATTCAAAGCTCCGCGAATTTATCAAATTAGTGCTCTCCGCAGTTCATGCAACTTCTGCTAACGACTTGGCCCGACCGTTTCGGAAACTATCTTTTCCTCGCTCGGGGGCTTCGACCCTCTCGAATCTTCTCCTCCCCGACCAAACTTTACACGCGTTTATTGCTGTACTTTGCCCGGCTCGTATTCCCATTGGAGACGATACTCTTATCATCACAAAAAATCAGAACGGTATATTATAGTCGAAATAGGCCGAATTTCTTAACTTCCATGTGAGGGAAATGATTCTTCCCAATTCGAAAATTTGATTTTTTTTTTTATACATATAAACAATAGTTTAAACAAACTTTGCTTTCTTGCCCGAAAACGTATGCTACACGCATCAAAATTCAAAATTTCCTCCCTCAAAACATCCATCCTTTAAGCTCAGATGATCCAGTAGTAGTCACCGATATTTTAAAACTCTTTAAGTAATTAAATTTAAAACTTTAATGTTTCCTGGTCCCCGGCATAAATAGCCTGATTGCTGATCGTCGTAAAGTAACTAACCAACCAACCAACCATATAATATGCCAATAATAAATAATAGAGAATCAGGAAACTATACAGCAACTGCAATAAGTTTGAATTGTATAAATTTTTAATGATGAATAAATACCAGAGTATATTATCATAATATAAACATTGACGGTTAAAATTTTTGATGAAATTTGCATTTTTAGGAGAAATGTTGAACAGCAAATTATTCTATAATGCCAGCAAAGCCTGACAAGAGAAGGGAAACTTTTAACGTGACTTTTAAATTCTTCGGCTACTGTAGAGTATATTTGTGAATTTAAAAATAACGCTCTGAAAGAAGTTAAATCTCTGTTTGCTCTGTTATATGTTTCGATTGTCCGGAATGCGTTGAAGAGGTACAAACCATGCGATGACTGTGGTTAGATCAGTTGTCATATACTAACATTATTTTATTTCAATGCAGTTGTACCTAATTTCGGACCATGGAGAATGGACCAATTATTTTGAACTTGAGGGATGACATGTTCAATCCTGCAATGAAATGCCAAGTAATTTCTACCATAGCCTTTCATGTTTTAAAGGGTCTCGAAAAAGTATTCTGCTCCGCTAAAAGCGTCTTGATCGATTACAAATAACCATGTCATAAGTCATGTTTTTATCAAGGTTAAAAGCAATGAAGTGCAGTTAGACCAAATTTATAACTGAAAAGTTTGTCCATTCTTTTTTCTATACTGTTAATTGTATTCCACCTTAAAAACTAGAGGCGTCCACTGACGATGACACCAAAACATGCAGTTCTAGATTCATTCATATATACAAAGAATGTAGTTTCAAGATAATTCTATTTGAGAAAAAATGATGTGAAAAGACGGCGTAATGGAACCGCTGACAAAAAATATTCAGTCATTGAACGAAGAAGAGTTTGCAGTTTACACCTCAATTTATTTTGATGCGCCTGTTCCGCGTGCCCATCAAAAATGGGGAGGGGGGAGGGGGGGCGCCGAAGGAGTATTCGACTGCGAGAAATAAAACACTGAACATTTGACAGTGCTATGGCAAATGTTATGGAGACGCAGAATCAGCACTTTGGAAACTCAAAACTATGATACCACTATTCGAGCTTGTGGGAGCGCACTTTGCCTACCCTTCTATTTGAAGGCAAATATGCTTTCCGATCTCCGACAAATCGGTGCTGGGTCAGTTTCTTATAGAAGTTGCTCAATATTCGCTTGCTCCTTTTGAGAGGAGATTTGTGATAACGGAAAAAAGTGAGAAAATAACATATCATGGATTTTGTGACGCAATGTAATAACTGAATTGTAAATGCAACTGAAATTTAAACGTATTTTCTCCACATAGCGTATCGTTACATAGGTGCTGCTGCTCCAGACCATGATTTCAAGGGAGCTTGAACTTTCCGTATGCTTTATTCCAAGCGAAGTAGCGGGCACGGCGACCACACGTGGAATAAAAAGCCGACTGGAAGGGGAAGCTGTTGCGCAGCGTCAGCGGCGCAGGAGGGGAAAAAGACGCGCTGGGGCGCCAGGACGAAATCTCCACCGAGAGAGAGGGACCAAAGGGACACCCCGAGAGAAAGAGAGACGCCCGAAAAGCGAATCCCCACGAACGTGTGAAAAAAGTAGGGAGTCTGCAAGGAAAAATACCCTATTTTTCTGCTCGCACGAGGAGAAAAATTCAGTTTGGCAAATGAAATTGAACACAATATACGTGCTATTTGTGTCTAATTACTCGAGTCGAGAGCACTTTCGTCGGTCGCTTTTTCGGGTCGTTTCAGTTCGGCTGCGGAACGTGGAGTGGACCGAGGCGATCGAACGTCGTCCAGGGTTTTCCCCTCTCCGTCGCCCAAGCTCCGGAAGCTCTTAAGTTTTTCTTCGAGGGCGAGGGTGGCCGACGACGGGTGGTGGAGGGGTCGAGGAAACGGAGGCGATTGGACGCTGCCGGAGAAAAGAAAGCACCCCCTCAATCCTTGGATGGCTGGAAGACGCGGATCAATGAGACCCAGCGCCAAGATACGCCGCGTCACAGCTGACTTTCACACTTGGTAAGGAAAATCTCAAAGCTCCTTCTCTCTCCTTTTCACCCTCCCTTCTTTGCGCCCTTCCTCACGCCCTTACTTATTTCATCGTTCACTAGACGGAAGAACGCGATCCCATTCTAAGGTTGCAAAATTTACCAAGAAATTGAATCATTTACAAGAATATGGCTGTAAGGTCTTTCCAAAATGTTGTTGCGATTTTTGTGAGTCATCTATACAAAAATCGGTGAATTCCTCAGCTAGTTCCTTTTCTCTCATTTTCTTTCCTCTTCTTCCTGCCTTATGCCCTTACTTATTTCATCGTTCACCAGACGGAAGAACGCGATTCCATTCCAAGGTTGCAAAATTGACTAAGTGATTCAATAGTTTATAATATGACAGTGCAAATTATTTCCAAGATTTTACTGATTTTTGTGCGATATGCAAACCAAAGTCAGTGAACTTCTTAGTCAGAAACGCCTAACAATTTCCCAATAAAACTGCAATTTTCGGGTGAAAACTTCGCAACTTTGTACATTGAAGTTAAAATCTTTCGTCTGAAAAACGATGATATTTATTTTTCTCATGAATCCTAAACGGCAATGCTCCCTTGGACAAATTTAACAGAATCAGCATAATTGCATTGCACAAGTCTTTTCTTACTTCGTTTTTTCCTTGACAGGAAATTGAACATAATACTCAATATTGAACATAATAAAGCCATAAAAACTTACGTGAATGTCCTCTGGATTACACAGAATGCATTCACAATATGTTTGATATTGAAATGTTTCTTAATATATGTCAAGAAATATGAAACAGGTGAAGACACTAGGCAATATGAAATGCAGAAATGATGATGGTGGTTATTTCCATCTATTTTTAGGCATGGGCGGATCCAGGCTTTTTGAAAGAGGGGGGGAAGGGGCGGAGAGATCCAGGGGGTCCCGCCAGAAAATTTTCAAAATGTTGAAGCATCTAATATGCAGGTTGAGTTAATTTCATCATGAATAATTACCAAATCAAAGCGTCCTTCGTTCTCCTTTTCTCCGTTCCGTCCTTTTTCTCCCTCTTTTTTTTGGGCGAACGGGGAGGCGTAGTCCCTCATCGTTGGACGCGACTAAGCAGTATCGATCTATCTAAATTTTGTTTCTCGGGATGGTGCTAATTCTTTAAGGGGTAGACTTTATTGAAGGCTGGGCCGCGGGTAATTTTATGCCTAAGTCTTGCCACAAGGTGAAGATAAGCTTGTTCATCTGACAACAATGTCAGTGTCAGCTGATAAAATGTATATTTTCTCATGAGAGGTTAATAAAAGTTTTCAGTCAGTCTTTGACATCTACCGAGACTTGTTTAGTATTCATTTATAACTACTACATATATAATGAAGACTTACGTCTATACTTACTATACTTACTCTTGGCAAGAAGCAGAGGTACGACCAATTTTGAAACCTGATAAAACTGAAGGAGACCCAAGGAGCTACAGCCTATAGCTCTCCTATCTGCGGTCAGGAAAGTATTTGAGAAACTGAACAAAATCCATCTTGAAGAATTTGTAGAGGTGAACAATATTCCATCGCCCTTCCAGCATGGGTTCAGGAAAAATTGATCTTTATTTGACAATCATAGTGCTCTATGTAGTGAAATCATGAAGACTTTCTCGAGAAAGGAATATATGGCTTGCCTATTTATTGACATTAAGGCTGCGTATGACTCAGTAAATATTTATAAACTGTATACGATTTTATTAGAGGCTGGTGTTGCGCCTTCCATAGCTTATATTGTTTATAAGATGTTGCATAAAAATGCTCTCTATGTGGCTTTTTATGGGTAAGTGGTTGGTCCAAAAGTTTCTTCGGTGGGTTTAGCGCAAGGATCTATCTTGAGCCCTCTGCTCTATTTAATTTATATTAAAAACATTCATTAGCACTTAACTTACTTAAACTCTCGAATTTGCAGATGATATAGTCCTTTTTGTACGGAGCAACGATCTGGAACTGGCTTTTTTACAAATTCAAGCTGATGTCGATTTAGTCACAGTATTTGAGGATCTTAACTCAAAAGTTTCAATTGAAAAATGTAAAATTCTCATTATTACAAATAACAGGAAGCAAGATTTTGTGTTGCCTGTCAAAATATATGACGTTGAAATTCAAATTTTCACTCCTGTAAAATATCATGAAAAACAAGCTTTTGAGTGAGAGGAATATTTTACAAGCATTTTAATTTATGAGGAGGATTAATTTGTCTTAAGAAAAATGCAACAGGACTAAAATTTATGAAACCGCAATTTCCGATGCGTTTGGGGGTAATCGATGTCGCTGCTGCGGGGAAGCATTTCGACATAGGGGAGGTTTCGATCTAATTCGGAGTTTCAAGTAAATCAATCGATTTGAGGCATCAGAGACGCAGCACTTAACTAAAGCCCTGTACTCAGGGGCGTCATAATCTCAGCGAGGGAGACTAGGCGCTGACAAGAACTCTCAACATGTCTTCCCGAACTGATCGATTGGCAGCAATGGCTAATGAAGTGCATTCATTATTGACACGGGTTGCTTTGCCCCTGTCCCTAATTCGCCAATCAAAAGGCTAAGCTGAGCGAACCTTGCCGTCGCCTGATCTTTAGATTACCCGTCAAACGTGTTAATTATTTTCCAAGATGCTTCAATCAATGCTCCCGCAGCCTGATTGTTGAAAATGTCGGGCACGACAAGAATCGAAAATCGATATATTACACGGCGCAGATAGGGCTATGTCTTGTCTTATCATGCCGACATAGCCAGTTAAAGTTTCAAAAATCCAGCTGCTGGTCTCTCTTAACACTGTTAGCTTCATACGCGAATGAAACTTCTAGCTGCATGCGAATTACTTTGTACCTCTAGCAGTAAAAATTGACAACAAAGAACATATATAGCAATTTCCCTTACTACAAGTCTCCAAAAGCGGTTTTTGTCATATGTCACAAAAATTGGAACTAAGTTTTTGTACGAAGTGGGGCTTTTTCATACGATCAAATATTTTTTCTTAAAATTACAGTAAATGTGTGTTTTATTAAATAATATTCAGCAAAAAACGAAGGTTTACACAGCTATTTTTCTCAGCAAGGAAGCATACTTTTAATCCCTAACCTATAGTCCCTTCTCGAAATAAGGATGGCCAGTGGCGATTCTTGAAAGTTGACAACACTATGTCTCATCCGTTTGAACTACCTATATAAAACAATCGAATCCTGGCTAAGCAGCTTGCCTCACATTAAATCGATATTTTTAATGGAAGAAAAAAAGTGTCGCCAACTTTACAAACTGCCACTGAGGGTAGCGGTGAAAAATACAGCATGAAGGTTGGAGCGCCCCGTCGTCGTCGCTTCGAAACGTAATCGCTGTTAGTTCGCCTTCAAATTTGTCGACGCAACCCAACCTCACACCGAAGTTAATTAAGTTGTATTCACCGATTGGCCGTATTCTGAACGTTTCTGCGTACCCCGAGGACTTACTTCCAACATTTGAGGAACTATCAATGAGCCAGTTCGGCTGAATTTTTTTATTACATATTATGAAAGTCCTTGGTGAAATGAGTATACAGAATTTTTCTCAGATTTTTTTGAGCCCTCTGGCTCTGAGAAATCTTACTTCAAAAACGCCAAAAATTGAAGGTCTCTGAAACGCTGTTTGAATCGCGCGGGCTGAGAGCTGACGTCACACTTTAGGTGGTGACCACCCTTGGTTTATTCCGAGTTAGTCCGAACAATATGGCTGCTGCCCGGTTTGTTTATTTAGCGGAAGTTTCTAGCTGTATATTGGGATTTAGTGGTAAAATTTGACGAGAAATTTGTTGAAACATTTGGTTTCGTCACAAATTAACTCTTTCTTGATGAAACAAGGCGTTAAAGTTCGCGAAATTTAGTCACCGGGCGACCGCGAGTGAGCATCGGCTATCGGAAACGACGGGCTCGTAAACAACCGAAGATTGATAACAGGAAGGATCCAAACAACTCGGAATCTTTTAATTTTCTCTACCTTTAAACCATTTCTGACTTCTACAAAGCATCTGACAATCAGTTTTATCGTATTTTACAACCTGGAGCTAGAGTCTATCGGCTCATTGTGATGTGTATTCAGAGCATTCTGAAACAGAAAGTCAGTTCTCACAAGTTCACACCCAGACATTCTTTTCTTGGATCATTCGCTTTTCATTTTCGCCTCAAATCAAGTGTTTTGTAGTTTCCTTATCTGAAGTATGCGGTTTTGAATTCATACAAGAGTTTGAAGTTCACCTTTTTTTAGCATTAAAGCCTGTTGAGCCCTCAAACTTTACCGATATGATTACCTACAGTTCAAGGTTCCTCTGGTCCGTACCAAGTGATTACACATCAAAGATGTGTCTTATGGTTCTTCAAATTAACAGTTCAGAAGTAAATTAGAGACTACAGTAACTTAATCCACTCCTGTCCTTTCCTTCAGTGTTTGTTCGTGTCTGTTCTTTATGCGTTACCACTCTAGTGCATACACCGGTAATGTAGGTTAGTTAGGTATTATCGCATATTTTCTACTAGCAGTACCTTCTCTTAAGCGTTGTAATTTAGCAAAGAAATTCCACCAGTTGCAGAAAATTGTGTGCGTAATGAATAAGTGAATATGAATACCTCCTTTTGGTGACTCAAAGTTTCTCAGATCCGTCTCAAGGAAGTTTTGCATATAGGTGCATGATCAGTTTTGCCAGATGAAATTACTGCTCTTGCAGCTTCAAATTTATACTTTGATCTCTGATTCACTAATAAATGACACTTTATGGTGTCATTTATATTTAATCAGTTCAAAGCTAATTCGACAATGAATCATCAAAGGTCCGATGGAGGAAGGAATTTTCCGGTGAGTGCCACGGCTGAATCAACATTCCAACTAGACTTGCGAAGGTGTCAACCAGGAAATGATCATCTGTCTCGAAGTGAAATTTTTTTCATTGCATCATACAGTTTAACAGGTAAGATAATTATAATTACTGAGGTACTATCAGGTTAAATACACG